GAGTGTTGTGTAGGCTAGGAAACTTCAGGAGTGTGGGCTCCATTGTTAGACAGGGAAAAAAGTAGCTGTGGAGTGGGGCTACAAGAGGAGTTTGATACTCGGAGTTTAACCAATGTATTGGCTAGTTGAGCTTTGAAATACCAAGCTGAATATCGGAAAGGTTCCATATGAGAGGCTAATTCAGGCAGAGTAAAGGAATGTTCCATGAAGCGCCTCCATCTTGAGATTAAGTGACGTGTCATCTTGAAGTTCTGAGTAATGGTGTCTAGCTTTTCCAGATTAAATAAGGCAGTTAATGCCTGTATCACCGTTTTGAGCTGTGGGGGGTTTGGATCTATCCAAGCTTGCATGAGGGTTCTGTGAGCCACTAATAAACAAATATGTATCCAATGAAGAAAAGTGTTAGGATGTGTCAGCATCGCAGGGTCTTGTTAATTGAAGAGACAGGGCATAGGATCATTGGAGAGAGAAAGACGTTGTATAATTGATTACCGCTTGCCGCCCTGCCACTGTATATATAAGTGTGCAGGGCGGCACTGGGGCGCAAAACCACGTTTTAAAACGGTTCCACGCTCCCAACGTTTTCGCCGGCAGGGGGCGCGCGCCGACCCGTGGGTGACACCATTTGATCCCGGAGGGATCAATCATTAGATTTCAGCCAGTGATGTCTGGCTGAAATCAGATGATCGGTCCCTGTCCTATCCTGTCCTGACATTTACACAGGACAGGATATGATGTCATTCTTCTCTGCCTGGACACATTCCGTTCCAGACAGAGAAGAAGACATCCAAACAGCGAGTAAAACAGCACATACCCACAGTTAGAACACACCTAGGACACATTTAACCCCCCGATTGCCCCCCCTCCCCCCCCAGTAACCCCTTCACTGCCCTGTCATCGGTGTCACTGATCAGTGAACAGATTTTTACTGATCACTATCAGTGTCGCTGGCGACTTCCAATAGTGTTAGCGCCCCTCCCAGATAGCGCCAGTTTGCCCACCAGTACACCAGTAATCCCATTTAACCCCTTGATCGCCCCCCCCCCCCCAGTTAACCCCTTCACTGCCCTGTCACCAGTGTCATTGATTAGTGAACAGATTTTTACTGATCACTGTATTAGTGTCACCGGTGACTTCCGATAGTGTTAGCGCCCCTCCCATATTGCGCCAATTTGCCCACTAATGCACGGGATTTTTTTTACCAAAAACATGTAGCAGAATACATTTTGGCTTAAATTTATGACTAACTTTGAGTTTACGATATATTTTTTTTATAGCTGAAAGTAGAAAGTATAGCTTTTTTCTAAATTTTTGTGTTTTTTTTTGTTTATAGCGCAAAAAATAAAAAGCGCACAAGTGATAAAATACCACCAAAAGAAAGCTCTATTTGTGTGAAAAAAAGGACGTAAATTTCGCTTGGGTACAGCATTGCATGACCGCGCAATTATCATTTGAATTAGTGCAGCGCTGTATAGCAAAAAAAGGCATAAATTACAGTATCGATACCATAGTTTGTAGACGCTATAACTTTCACACAAAGCAATCAATATACACTTATTGGGATTTTTTTTTACCAAAAACATGTAGCAGAATACATTTTGGCTTAAATTTATGACTAACTTTGAATTTACGATATATTTTTTATAGCTGAAAGTAGAAAATATTGTTTTTTTTCTAAATTTTTGTGTTTTTTTTTTTTATAGCACAAAAAATAAAAAGCGCACAGATGATAAAATACCATCAAAAGAAAGCTCTATTTGTGTGAAAAAAAGTACGCAAATTTCGTTTGGGTACAGCATTGCATGACTGCGCAATTATCATTTGAAGTAGTGCAGCGCCAAACAGCAAAAAAAGGCCTGGTCATTAAGGGGGGTAAATATCCTCAGGAGCTCAAGTGGTTAATGTACCCCAGAACTCATCCCAGAAGGTAAAAACTCGGGCACATTCCCATAGACGATGAAACCGGGTAGGTCGAATGTAGTCACACCAAGGACATGTTGGGTGGGCAGCGACAGCTGGATTCGCTGAGAAAGGATAGTCATCTCTGTGAATGATTTTGAATTGAGTTTCATGCCATGTTTCACAGAGAACAAGTGAAGAAATTTCCCTGTATCCCGACAGTATTTTATCCGGAGTTTCATCAGTTGACCGTATGAAGGTCCACGGCTTAATTGGATTAAGGTGGTATATTGCTGACTGGTGAGAGATTAGATGAGAGTAGATAGCCGAGATGGAGTATTGGTCCTGTCGCAGTAGAATTTCTATAAAGGAGCGCTGGAAGGGATTTTGTTTTGGGGAATAGCATGTCCGGAGGAAGGTCACCAACTGTTGGTGGTAAAAGATATGAGATCCCGGCAAGGAATATTTGGCAGCTATTACTGAAAAGGTCTGAAAGGAACATTTAGTATAATCAAAGATGGAGATAACTTTAGTAAGTCCTCCTATGAGGCCAGTGGGTAAATGCTGCATGTCCACTACCTGGAGGGAACATAGGGTTTCCAAGAATAGGCAGATAGGAGGATATCCATAATGGTAGGCCAAAAAGTCTCCATATTTCCCTCCAGGCCAATACTGTGTTTCTAATCAGGAGATTCGATCAGAGAGGTCCAGGTAGGGCCTTAAGCGTAGAATGCAGAATGGCTGGAAAGATGTAGCGGAGACACCAGAGCCTCCTCCAAAGAGTAATTCGAGTAATGTGATTTCCCAGCAATCCAATCAAGACTCTGATAAAGAAGGCAGGACAAGTTGTAAAATCTAATATTCGGCAGGCCTGCACCCCCTGCTCTTTGGTGACTTAGCTTTTGTAATGCAATACGTGGCTTTTTGTGCTGCCATAGGAAGGCTTGTAGGGCCTTATGAATCTTCTGAAAATCGGAATGTTTTAAAATAAGAGGGAGTGTTTGTAAAGGGTAGAGCAATCTCGCAAATGAAACCATTTTGTAGAGATGGCATCTCCCAAAGAGTGAAAGGGGAAGAGTCGTCCAAGCTTCCAGTTCCTGTACAATCTTGTTCATTAGAGGGTAATTAAGGTAGTAGAGAGACGATGCTTCTCTGCCTGTATGAATGCCCAAATACGTAATTGAGTGTTTAGCTATTCTAAAGGGAGATGAAGGGATCCAGCATGTTAAGGTAGTAGAATTTAGAGGGAGTACTTCACTATTATCAAAATTAATTCTTAGGCCGGAGCGTTTACGGAACGTCGCAAACAGGTTCTGAAGTAGTAGGAAATCTTTGGGTGGATATGAAGAGAACAATAATATATAGTCCGCAAAAAGAGCGGAGAGTGTGTTGTCCAGTTGTGACACCACTGACCCCAGATATCGAATTAAGTAGTCTGGACAAGGGTTTTAGGGCGACGTTAAAGAGGAGGGGGGAGAGCTGGCAACCCTGCCTAGTGCCCTTGGTTAGGGGAATGTCCGAGGAAATAAAGTCAGGTGTGACTAATCTAGCTGTAGGCGAAGAATACATGTGTCATAAGAAGTCCAAAATGGGGCCCGAAATATTAAGCCTCCTCATATCTTTAGATGCTGAAAAAGCCTTCAACAACATAAGCTTTACATGGCTCTTCATGGTTATAAGTACCAGATCAAGCTGTGGGTCGGTTTTAGCATATTCCATGGCTAAAATTACTTTGCGAATATTAACCGTTGCTGAGCGACACGGCACGAACCCGGATTGAGCTGGATGTACTATATTAGGGAGCAGTAGGGCCAACCTGGGTGCCACGATTTTTTAGAGTATTTTGGCATCTACATTAGCTAGAGAGATAGGTCGGTAGGATCCTGGAAGCAGTGGGTCTTTTCCCTTCTCTGAGTTTAATGTGTGCATGGGAACCAGTTGGGTGATGAGGGCCATCCTCCCACATTGCCTTGTAAATGTGATACAGAGTGTCTGGGATGAATTCTGAAGTCAATTTATAAAATTCTGCGCTAAGACTGTAGTGACACTGTACTACTTTTTGGGGGTGATGAAGATTTGTTTTTTTTTTTTTTGCACGGATTGCTTTTACACCCATAAAGGCTGTAAAAGCAATAATTTGTCGTCCTCTCTGGCTGCATTCTTGCAGTCATTGAGAAATACTGTGAGAGCTGTGATTGGTCACAGCTTATCACATGGTACAAGGCTGTTGTGAATAGCCTTGTACCATGTGACCTCTGTGATCGTTCACAGATTTCACTAGTCGTAAGCAATCTGGCCAATCAGTGATCACATGATCGGGACCTCACACGGAGGTCCCGTACAGCGATCAGTGTTCTCCGGAGACAGTGGCCGTGCGCAGGCAGGGAAGCGGGAGGACGTTTATAAACGGCCACCCACTCCTGCACTGCTCCCGTCTGGCCATTTATGTACATGGGCCATACGGGAAGTGGTTAAATGGGGTCCTCTGTTCAGCAGACCCATGTCTTGAAGTGCACATATGACTACAGCTGAACGTCATTCGGGGGCAGTAGCTTTATTAGCATTTGGCTAAATGGAGAAATTCCAAGTATTCTCATCCGCTGAATGATCAAAGGGTAGTCTGAGAATGGTAGAATCCTAGCTTATGGCAACATTTATTCTATCTATATCCTTCTGAATGTCTGGATGCTTTATAGGATTTATTGTGTAAGTTGTCTGGGGGGTATATTGCACATCTGAGTACTGTGTTCTACACACCTAGCCATATGGACTTTATATTATGATTTCAAGTATTAGGTTCAGTAGTTGTCAGACTTTGCTATTGTAGGCTTAAAACTAATACACCAATTTCAACTCTTGGGGCTTACCTAATTGTCTCATTCAATTTATTAAATTTTTTTCCCTCTGAAATTTTCATATTCATTATTATTTGTAGTAATAGGCTGAATAATGATAACCTTTCTATTTTAATATACAAATGCCTTTTTTGCTTTTTCATGTTCGATTTCTGAGTGTAGTACCTTTCTTTGAAAAACCATCTGCAATTTACTAACCAAAAAACTTTATTGCTTTTCTTTTTTTTGTTTTTTTTCTTTCTTAAGCAACGTATACCATTGACTGTAGAACACATGTATGAAGATATTAGTCAAGACCATGTGAAGAAAACTGTGACCATTGAGAACCACCCACACCTCCCACCTCCACCAATGTGTTCTGTACACCCATGCAGGTAATTATTTCCTGTAGTGTATCAGCCTCTAGTGGGATCTTGGCTGTAGGTGATCAAAGTATATTTATAATGCAGTGAATGTGACATTCACCAAACATTCACTGCAGATGTATCTTCCTGGTGCATTTGTTATCAGTTGCAGTGATTGAATCCTCTACAGGGAATGTTTGTTGAGTCACATTCACTGCTTCATAAATACGCCTCTAGTAGCCTTTTTAACCCTCTTCGTTCATCAAAACCCTCTCGAAGGATTCTGATTACTTTAAAATCTATTTAACCCTTCCCTAATTCATCCAATCTGAAAGAGGTTACAATCACTCATAGGTTTATATTGTTGTCTGGGTCCCCACTGGGGAGATTCACCCTCTATTTGTCCTGGTGACCATTGTCGCTACAAATGAAATTTAAGGAAAATCTAAAGTTATAGGTTGCCGCTGGAACAGGAACAAAAACTAAATCTTGTTTTGGTGGCAACTGTCTAAATGATTTACTTAGATCTTCTTTCTCTTCCTGTTTTTTACCTCCAGACAACATTTAAAAAAAAAAATCTCAATTTCCCAGTAGAAAAAAAATAAAAACACAACAGGGGACTGCATTATTCCCTTTCCCTAAAGCCAGAACTAAGAAATGGTTCTAAAATCAAATAAATTTTTTTTTTTTAACTTTATGCATTCCCTGCATCAAGGTAAAAGTGTCCCTGTACCAGGGGTGTATTTACCACAAGGCAAACTAGGCATTTGCCTAGGGTGACATATTTAAGGGGACAGCACTTCCCCCCATAGGAAGAGATGGAAAAAGGGACACACCCGGCTTGGGGACCAGGTGGGTTCTGAGAGAGGTTGCGTGCTTAGTGATGGTGTATGCTCGACTCTCATTCCAGGGGATGTCTGGAGCTGTGAAGGGGAGTGTGTGTGTGTCTGTCTCTCTCTCTCTCTCTCTCTCTCTCTTTCTCTCTCTCTCTCTGGGGGTGGGCGGTGGTAGTGGAAGGCTGTTTTGAGTGTGTGTATGTGTGCGTGTGTGAGGGGGGGGGGGTGTTGGTTGGTGTCAGGCTCTCTCCATGTGGGGAGGGGAACACATTTTGTGTTGCCTAGGGCAGCACAAAACCGAAATACACCACTGCCCTGTACCTGTTACTCACCCCCCCCCCCTTCCACGCACTGTATTGCTCTGCAGCAGTGCTGCTTTCTCTTTCTGGTCTCACAAGACAGATTGAAATCAGTATGAGCCATTGGCTCCTGCTGCCATCATTCAAATTCGAGAAGGTGGGGGGTCAAGCCGTGTGTGTGTTTGCGCGTGCGTGCGCCTATGGACGCATATAGCCTGGCTTAGGAGTGTGCCTGCATATGTGCAGCCATAGCAAGCAGCTCCAGCATGGGACTCCAGAAGAAATAAAGGGCCACTCTGTGCAAAGTGGGTACGTATAACCTCTCTTTTTATTTTAGGAAAAAAAACATGTCTTTTGCAATCACCTTAAAGCAAACTATGATACAATAAAACATGTTTACATTCCTTTGGTACTAGCAGACTATAGCTGCTAACTTCAGAATGCCTTTGCTGTGCCATGCGAGACCCAAATCTTTACAATCAGCTTTTGGGTTTTCAGGTTGCCCTGTTGGATAGGATTATACTTGAAAGCTGAATTTCATGTAGAACTGCTCGGGACTTCTAGTGCACAGAAATGGCAAACATGATGTTATTAGCAGAGTCTACAGGCACTGGGTAGTGCATACTATCAGAAGATAAGGTTGGTTTAACATGTTTTATCTTAATGCAGGTAGATTTAACTTCAGTATTGGGCCATTTTGGAATGCCATAAAATCCTTGGTTGTATGCCACAGATCAAATTAAATATTACCTATCAAAAAATGATCTATTATAGAATATACACACATACAGTATCTTCCAAATTTTAATGCCATCTCTATAAATAGATGCTACTGTTTCCTTTTTTACTTTTAGGCATGCGGAGGTAATGAAGAAGATAATTGAGACGGTCGCAGAAGGTGGAGGAGAGCTGGGAGTTCATATGTATCCTTTATTGTTCTATTTTAAGTTTGTGTTTCTATATGTATAGATACAAACAAACACAAAGAAAACCCTTTCAGTTTTCTTTTGTAAATTGAGCAGATAGCTCAGTATAACCTACTGAACAGTATAAAGTAGATTCTGACTATCAGACTGAAATAACCCCAAGGCATTACTGACTTAACAATTAACTCCATGTTTGTGTGAAAAAAATATAGTGAATAAAAAATAAATATATACAGCATATATGATTGCTACACAAACCATGTTGTAATTTAACCACTTGCCTACCAGGCACTTATACCCCCTTCCTTACCAGGCCAATTTTCAGCTTTCAGCGCTGCCGCACTTTGATTGACAATTGCGCGGTCATGCAACATTGTACCCATATGAAATTTTGATCATTTTTTTCTCACAAATAGAGCTTTCTTTTGGTGGTATTTAATTGCCACTGGGCACTTTACTTTTTGCGCTATAAATTAAAAAAAGTGCAAAAAATTGGAAAAAAAAAAAAAAGTTTATTTGTTTCTTTTATAAAATTTTTCAAACAGGTATTTTTTCTCCTTCACTGATTTACGTTGATGAGGCGGCACTGATGGGCACTGATAGGCGGCACTGATGGGCACTGATAGGCAGCACTAAAGGGCACTGATAGGCAGTACTAATGAGGTGGCACGGATAGGCGGCACTGATAGACAGCGCTAATTAGGGGTCACGGATAGGCGGCACTGATATGCAGCACTGATAGGCGGCACTGATAGGTGACACTGATGATGGGTACTGATAGACGGCACTGACTGGCATCACTTCTGGGCACTGACTGGTGGCACTGACTGGCACAACCCCTGGGCACTGACTGGTGGCACTGACTGGCAGCACTGCTGGGCAGCACTGGTGGGTGGGCACAGGTGGGTGGCACTGGTGGGCACAGGTGGGTGGCACTGGTGGGCACAGGTGGGTGGCACTGGTGGGCACAGGCGGGTGGGCACAGGTGGGTGGCACTGCTGGGCACATGTAGGTGGCACTTCTGGGCACAGGTAGGTGGCACAGGTGGGGGCACTGCTGGGCACAGGTGGGGGCACTGCTGGGCACAGGTGGGGGCACTGCTGGGAACGGGTGGGCGGGGCTAGTGGGCGCACTGCTGGGCGGAACTTGCGGGTGTCACTGCTGGGCACCGATCATCAGGGCACTGATCATCAGTGCCCTGATGATCGGTGCCGATCCCCGCTCTGACAACTGCCGGTTCTCGGCAGTACTTTCCTCACGATCTGACAGCGTGAGGAAAGTGCAGCCGAGAACCGGCACTTGCATTTCCCTGTGATCAGCGTGTCATTGGACACCGCTGATCACGTGGTAAAAGGCCGGTGGGATCGGCCTTTCACCACATCACGTGATCAGCTGTGTCCGTAGGACACAGCGATCACGGAGATCGCCGGGTGCGCGCCGCCTGGGGCGCGCAGGAGAGCGCGTTCTGGAGGACGTCATATGACGTCCACTCAGAACTGGCCGGCCGCGGTGAAGCCGTCATTCGGCTATGCGCGGTCGGCAAGAGGTTAATGTTATTTAAAATGACCTTTCATGTTCAATCTGCAGCCCCCTGAAATGTCCTCTGAAATCTTAGATTGTTAGCTCCAAGGAGCGGGACCCTCCTAACCCTCTTGTATTGAACTGTATTGTCTCCCTTTTATGATGTAAAGCGCTAAGCAAACTGTTGGCACTATATAAATCTTGTATAATAATATTAAAATAAATTTAATATGGCAACCTGAAGGGGTTCCATGTAGAGGGGATTGGTGTACAGAATGCCCCCAGAAATGTAATTTTCTGCTTCTGTGATTTGGATTACTAATTTTCTCAAGGTTTATTTTAGACAACACCTGTATTTAGACAACACCTATACAAGGTTTATTTTAGACAACACCTGTAGTATGGAATTTAAAGTGCAACTAAAGGGTGAATATCTATCCAATGTTCCCTTACCAGCGCAGGCATCTTCTTCTGAGTGCCGGTCTTCAGGCCTCTTCACTGGCCGGCGGAGGATGACCTCACTCCTGTTCGTATGCAGGAGCTACTCATCCCAGCACTCAGAGTCTGGCCCGACACTGTAAGCTGGGCTGCACATGCTCAGCTCCGTTTACAGCACCACAAAACAGAGCAAGCAGGTAGGTAGGTAGGGAATTTTGTTGCAGAAGAGAGAGCACATGTCTCTTCTACAATAATTCTTCAGTTCTGCTGTAAGTACTGGTAAGATACCTCCCAAGGGTTAATTCTAAAGGAATGCAGACACTGCAGTTTTCCTCATTAGAACACAGTGCACCAGCTGATGATAAACCAGTCACTCCCATTTAGAACTGGTCTGCAATCATTCTGGTGCAACAAAGCTATTTCTTCACACAAAAAAGGTTGGAATCTGCTACAAAGTTTTTATTAAAATCCCTTCAGTGTACATTGATTACTCAGACAGGATTTTTTTTTTTTTCTCACCAAAAGTGGAGTTGCTCTTTAAATTATATATGCTCTGTCTAATTACCATTAACAATACATGTTCAGCAGTGAATGTCCTCAAATTTTAAACTAAACATAATAAATGTACAGGACTAATGTTAAACACCGGTCTGTAAACGTTGAAATCTGCCTCCTTGCAGCACTATCTATCCTTTGATTGACCAAGAGAGAATTTCTTCTGTGAGCCGTTCTTCAGAAGAGAAGTGCTTTCCCCTCACTATGCCTTAATAGACTTTATCGATCATTGTTGTTCTCTACCAAAGCTGATCTCTACCAGTTGACATGTCCTGACAGGGAACATGAGGACAAAAGGATAGAGCAGAGAGATGGCCTCATGGTCCATTGTTGCTTCTTCACTATCTAATTACAGGCTGAGAGCATGGAGGGAAATCAAGTCACCAAGCTGGCTGTGTTTTGTAGCACAGCTATTCACATATCAGAATTGGATGGACAGAAATACAAATGCTTTGGCAGGTAAAATGGCACCATTTATATGTATTTCATCTGTTTAGTTGGCAGTTTGCCTGGAGTTCAGCTTTAACCCTTTCACTGCCAGGTCCTGTGCTCCACTTTTAAACGAATTGGCCGAACCATTTTTGCAATTTTTCAATTGCTTTTTTATTTTTCCCTTACAGCTTTCAGAGTTTGTAAAAGACCCCCCCCCCCCCCCAAACCATATATCTTCTTAAAGGACATGACCCGTAGAATAAAAAGAAGGTGCTACTGATTTTTAAGGCTGAGCGATATTGCGCAAATGTTTATCAAAACAATATTTCCACTGAAAATACACTAAAATCATTATTAGCAGATAAAAACAAAGCAAATCTTGTAAAATACCTGTAAAATATAAAAGTTTAACCTGTGTTGAGTTAATAAATGATAATTTAATAATAAATAAGTAATACAAATATTTGTACATTTTATATTGAACCTTTTTGTGAAATGGTAAAAATTGAATGTACGCAAAAAATGTAAATATCCAAATTTCTCTAAGAAACTGGAGGTTTATCTTTGTTCACCTATAGCTTTCAGAGTTTGTGAAAGACCCCCCAAACCATATAATTTCTGAAAGCATAGGACCTGTAGAATAAATGGAAGGTTCTACTGATTTTTTAGGCCTTGAGATATTTGCACAAATGTTCATCAAGTCGTTGTTTTCACTTAAAATACAGTAAAAAAATTTTAGTGGATAAATATATGACAAAATTTAAAAAATTCCTGCTAAATTCCTACTAAATATTAAAGCTAACACTATTGAGTTAATAAATAACAAAAATTTGTAAATTTTGAATTGTACTTTTTTGTGAAATGATGAAAATGGAGCGTGTGCAAAACTGCAATTTTAAAACCAATTTAGTCTTAAAATCTGGAGGTTGCCATTTTTCACTTGCAGCTTTCAGAATTTGAAAGGATCCCCCAAACCATTCATTTTCTGAAAGCACATGACCTGTAGAATAAAAAAAAGTGCTACTGATTTTTTTAGCCCCTTCAGTAGTTTATCAAATCGCTATTTTCAGTAAAAATACACTGAAATCAATATTAGTGCACACAAACACAACCTACTTTTTTTAAATTCCTGCAAAATTTCTACTAAGGCCTTGTTAACATGAGGCGTACTAAAATGTATGCTCGTGGACGGCCGTGTCTACCTGCATGGGGATGCCCAGGTGTTCTGTGCATTCACATACAGGCAGTTCCAATCATGTCAATTGGGATGCAACGGCTGCATGGGCATACCACCTGTACCCATACCCACACGGATGTCAGATTGGGAACAGCAGCTATGCCCATGCAATGGCTGCATGGGTATAGCCACTGTTCCCAATTTGACATCCGTGTGGGTGCACGACCCCGAATGCAGACAGTGTGAGTTCAGGGATATGAACCCAAACCCACATAGATGTTAAATTGAGAGCAATGGCTGTTTCCATGCAGGTGCTACGGAAAACCTATGCATCCCTGTGTGGGTAAACATGGCCTTGCAGGGGCATACGCTGTGTATGCCCTGTGTGAACAAGGCTTTTCTAGGTTTTTTTTTTTTTTAATTTATTTATTTTTTTTTACAATTTTAGTTTTTAATACTTTGTATTTTTTTTTTTTTTTTTGTGGAGGGGGGCTTTCTTGAGATATCAGAGGTCTACGCAGACACCTGATGTCTCTTTTTTTTTTTTTTTTTTGAGACCGAGAATGGGACTGATGATGGTCACTTTCTCTGCAGCCTAAGCTGCAGATTACATGAATGAATAAGGAGTCTGTATATAGAGCAGGGGTGGCTAACCTGTGGCTCTCCAGCTGTTGTGGAACTACATTTCCCATGAGGCATTGCAAAGATGGGAAGTTACTGACTTGCAGAGGCATGATGGAACTTGTAGTCCTGCAGCAGCTGGAGAGCCGCAGGTTGGCCACCCCTGGTATAGAGACTCCTTTTCATTCATAAACTGACATAGTAAACACTGTTTACTATGCTCAGTTATCAATAGATACAGGAGTGATCAGTTGTGATTGATGACTGTATCTACTGAAGAAAAAGGAGGGGGCTGGTAAACACATGTTTACTAAGCCCCGCTTCCCCCTACTCTCCATCCTGACAGCATTCCCAAGTGCTGGAGCAGCAGTGGGAGGGAGAGGAGGGAACACCACCCAGCAGCCAGTCAAGATCGGTGATTCGGGGGCCATTGAGGGGGGAAGCAACGTGGCAGGGGGAGGTCAGCATAATGGGGGGGAGCGAAGCCGGCGGCTGCAGGGGATTGGATATGCCAGTGGGAGTAGGCACGGATCCTGGATGGGGGGGATCGGTGCTGGGTGGGGGGGGTCAGCAAAATTAGAGTAGGGGGTGGCATTTAAAAAAATAGCGGCGGTGGAAAGTAGAGGCTAAAGACAGGGAAGCCAGAGCAGGGGTGGCATGGGGGGCGGGTGTTACATTTGAGGCATATAGCTCTGATCAGCGGCTTGTTAACCGCTAATCAGTGCTATCTGCTTGTTCAGCAATGTCTGCTGAACAGTTTGCTGTAAGTGACACTGAAGTGACCATGAGCTTACAGCAAGAGGAGGAATGTAGGTCTGTATGGTGTACAGACCTGGCCAGCAGAAACAGTACAGTATGTCCGTATGCCTGGCAGTGAAAGGATTAAGAGGACTCCTATTTTTTATTTTTTTTTTTTTCCTCCAACACATTGTGGGAGATTTACTAAAACTGGACCACTCAGAATCTGATGCATCTGTGGATGGTAGTTAATCAGCTTCTTCAATTAAAGTGTTTACTAAACCCTGGACCCTGCATTCACTATATCCGGTCTCCCACAGTACATAGAACATGGAAATGCAATTATTTTAGTAAATATAAACTGCTAAATACCTTTTCTCATCAGCAGTTAGAGTAGTCTTGTGACTTCTAGCAGTGTCCAGCAGAGCACTGGTAAAGTTTGTAGGAGGAGTTTTTAGTCTCCCCTATGAGGCTGGAAGACCCCCGACTTTCTGTCTGGACAGTGCTGATTGGTCCTGTGATGATTACATGCACTCTCCCAAGAAAAAAAAAAAAAAAACAAGCAATACACACCAACCTGAGCATGTGCAGCTTGCCTTCAAGCTTCTGTTTATCAGGAGATACAGTGAAGGAAATAAGTATTTGATCCCCCTGCTGATTTTGAATGTTTGCCAACTTACAAAGAAATGATCAGTCTAAAAATCGAATGGTAGGTGTGTTGTAACACAGAGACAAAATAGCAACAAAAGAAATGCATGTCTAACAAATTATGCACTGATTGCATGTTCATGAGGGAAATACGTATTTGATCCCCTATCATTCAGCAGGATTTCTGGCTACCAGGTGTCTTTCATACAGGTAACAAGCTGAGATTAGAAGCAGTCTATTAAAGGGAGTGCTGCTAATCTCATTTTGTTACCTGTATAAAAGACACCTGTCCACAGGACAACAATCAAACAATCAGATTCCAAACTCTCCACCATGGCAAAGACCAAAGAGCTGTCCAAGGATGTCAGGGACAAGATTGTCGACCTACACAAGGCTGAACTGGGCTTCCAAACTATCACCAAGCAGCTTGGTGAGAAGGTGACAACAGTTGGTGCAATTATTCGCAAATGGAAGAAACACAAAACAACTGTCAGTCTCCCTAGGTCTGGTGCACCATGCAAGATCTCACCTCGTGGAATGTCAATGATCATGAGAACAGTGGGGAATCATCCCAGAACTACACGTGAGGCTCTTGTCAATGATCTCCAGGCAGCTGGGACCACAGTCACCAAGAAAACAATTGGTAACACACTACGCCGATGATGACTGAAATCCTGCTGTGCCCGCAAGGTCCCTCTGCTCAAGAAGGCTGGCCTGTCTGCATTATTCAGATGTTCAGTGGCAAACTTCAGAGGAGGACTGGTTGAAAGTGTTGTGGTCAGATGAGACCAAAATTGAGCTCTTTGGCATCAATTCAACTCACTGCGTTTGGAAGAGGAGGATTGCTGCCTATGACCCCAAGAACACCATTCCAACTGTCAAACATGGTGGTGGAAACATTCTGCTTTGGGGGATGTTTTTCTGCTAAGGGGACAGGACAACTGCACCGCATCAAAGGGATGATGGACGGGGCAATGTACCGTCAAATCTTGGGTGAGAACCTTCTTCCCTCAGCCAGGGCATTGAAAATGGGCCGTGGATGGGTGTTCCAGCATGACAATGACCCAAAACACACGGTCAAGTCAACAAAGGAGTGGCTCAAGAATAAGCACATTAAGGTCCTGGAGTGGCCTAGCCAGTCTCCAGACCTTAATCCGATTGAAAATCTGCGGAGGGAACGGAAAGTTATATACGAGTGAGTTATATATGAGTGCTATACGTCAGCCACCAAACCTTAAAGACTTTCATGAACATGCAAATCAGTGCATAATTTGTTAGACATGCATTTCTTTTGAAATTTTTGTTGCTACTCTGTCTGTTACAATGCACCTACCATTGGATTTTTAGACTGATCATTTCTTTGTGAGTGGGCAAACATTCAGAATCAGCAGGGGAGCAAATACTTATTTCCTTCACTGTATATTGGGGACAGTAGAAGGGGAGGATCAAAGGAGACCTAATCAAAATCCTTTGTACACAATGCAGATTAACCCCTTAGGTTCCATAGTGAGTATAACCAGCATGCTTTACTGCCTATACAGACAGATTTTACTGTCGTGGGTTTAGTAACACTTTAAGCTTTGACAATGAAACCTGGAATCTAATTGGATTCTATGCAGAGGTGCACCAGATTTGGTACACTCCAGTTTTAGTAAATCCCTCCCATTTATTTGGGAAGTAGACCTCTCATAGGGCTTGTTTTTTTGCATGGAATCAATGCAGGTCACTGCAAGGGCACATAAAAGAAACAATGGTTTTAAATGTGCCTCCATCACACCACATTGTTGTATAAATGTGCAATGCTTTAAAATGCAACTTGTCTGCATTTTAACACAATGGACATGCATGCATGTAAATGCAACACAACTAGAAGTAAACATAAATACTTTGTTCTTAGTATATTGACCCCTTCCTGGGACCTGTTGCTTCACAATAAATGACGTGAACAGTTGCATAAAACCTAACACAATGCATGTTAAATGCATATGAACACACATGCATTTTCAATGAGTTGCGGTGAGTTTTCATATGCAGTATGGTGTGAAAGGACCGATTATGCTTTATTGTATTTATTATATTTATTTGGATTTAAAAATACTCAATAACAGAATCTGGGGTGAAAAAGGCATTGACTAGGAGATACTAAAACTGTGCATAGAGTTTATACCTGCCATTTCCTTAACCATATATCCTCAGGTACCTGCTTATTTTTCTAAAATTTGTACAGGCTGTCATTCCTACAATAGAATATGATTACACGCGGCATTTTACAATGTAACTTCAACCATCCATATTCAGACCCTGTGAAAGCTCAATTTTTAATGACCGTTACACAAACTTCTTTTTTTTTCCCCAAACATACAAATATGCAACATTTCTGTAATGTATAATATGCTTATTTGATTAAATTTCTGCATTTAAACATGTCTGTGGTATAATTTTGCTTTTGTTTTTCTCATTTAATAATCCATTAATACTAGAACTATCTAGAACATAGCTGAAAATACAGATATTATTGTGGGTAAATGAATAGAAGACATTCAAAGTTGTTTTTTTGTTTTTTTTAATTAGGAATCCACTATGACCTAAATGTCATGTTATGTGCAATCATTTCTCTATGATTGTGACCTGCAGCAGTCCCAACTTGTTGATTGGTGTGGGTTTCTCACTAGTTAAAGGAAAAACTTTTGTGCTGTGTGTAAATGAGTGAAATAAGGAAACAGCCAGTTCAATTCAAAATGCCCCCAAAATCCTATCTTAATTGTGCAGTACAGAACATAAAAGTTGATTCTTAGACCATGGGTCTATCCTTGGCCAACCTAGTACTAAAAGAGGTTGCATGTCATCTTTCCTCCTTATCTCCTTTTTAATGTGCTTGGTTCTCTCCACATGTTGTCCTTAGACCACCTCTGTGACTGCTCTACAAACTGTCACCTAAAGATCTCCCAGCACCTCTAATCCCCTGATATTCATCAGTTAGGCAGTTTACTGAAATGCACATTTTGAGAAGAGTGTGGAAGTGTTAGATCTTTGAACAGTGTTTTTACTGCTAAGCTTTCCTGTCTTACTGACAACACTTCCCATTTCTTGCATGGGTGTTGCAGGACAGGAGGTGGGGGGGGGAGAGATTCTGTTCAAAGGGGTTAAAGAAATTGAAACCTGCTGCAATTTTTATCTCTGCCCTAATTGATCCAAAACTAAATTAAATTGGCTAAATCAATCCATAAACTAAATTAAAGTTGGCAGAAGGTGGGGATTCTACTGAAAAGTGCCTTGTTTGGTGTCAGAGGCACCTTTATTTCACCCCCCCCCCCCCATGAAGCCAGATATACTCGCTTTAGTGCCCCCCACCCCCCTGGTCAAAGTCCTTCGCCATCATCAGTTCCATAGTGGGGGACTGCAAATCTAGCACTGCAGTGGTGCCCGATACCACCCATCTCCTGTCATCACCCTATGATAATGCCTTCCTCCTCCTTCCCTGAGAGGATCCTGCTGCAAGCCATCCAATAGGAAGTGTTCATGTCACACAGGCAGGGACATGGACACCCGAAGAAGGACCCTACCAGGAAGTAAACACAAGTAGAGAAGGTTTGGCCAGCAGCATTATGTGACTGTGGCTTTAGGTAAGTAAGGAAGGGCAATTAGTTATATGATTGGTGGGAGGTAGCAATAACAGGGCATCTATTTTTGTCCTGGGGAGGGGCTTTAGAGTTGTGATGCCTGTACAAGAAATTATGTTTATATTAGTCACCAAGACAATAAGGCACATACAGCAAAAAAAATAATCTACTAAAGATTAACATGGGTCTCTCTCCAATGTAGAGATTTTTTTTTTTATCTGTCCACTAGATGGCATCTAGGCACAGGAAAGTTCCACCCAAAGAAAAACACTAAGGCTGAATTTGCCCAACTTCCACTCTATTCAGTGTGCAGTGATGTGCCGCCTTTTTATTCACAGTCAAAATGCTTTATTTTTCTTTCCTTATTATGCATTGCAGGCCTCCTCACAATACAGAGGTGTCACATTTAAAATGTTCCGGGGAAGGGGGGAGGTATGGTTTGGACTTTGCAGACATCTTTTCCCAGGACATTTCAAATGCTTTGGTCTGGAATGTTATCCAGAAGCCATCCAATTTTGCAACTTAACATTCTGGCAGTGTGGGAAAGCCAGGATCAGCTATCCGATTGCTGCATCCACATGACCCCAGAAACCAGGCTTGGCTTGGTGGGTCACAAGTCTGGTGCTGAAAATTTTTTTTTCCCTCAATATGGTCTGGATGGTTCTCGCAACAAACGCCCGTCCTTACTTTCTTTCAGTTCAAGGGACTTGGTCATCAGAGGAAGTTTATCCTCTGATCAATGTTCTGGAGGTTGATTGCCCCTTGAACGGTGGATCCTCTCAACTCCGTGATCATCCAACCAGGATATTCAGTTAGACAACATCATGACCATGGCTTACATTAACCATCAGGGAGGAACCAAAAGTCTCAAAGCTTATAGAAAAGCAGATCTGATACTTGTTTGAACAGAAAATCATGTTCCAGCCCTGTCTATTTTTGCACATCCTGGGCATCGAAAATTTTCAGGCGGATATTCTCACTCAAAGCGGAAGAAAATCTGGCACTCAAAACCTATAGATACTCCAATGAAAAGTGGAAATAGAAATGTGTCATATAAGATTGATGGTATGATTCAGCTCAGACTTACAAAGAACATGATATAATCATATATGCACACAAATGGTAAATAAAGTCCGTAAAAAAATGTCTCTGAATGCTGGCTGGAAGTAAGCGTGGTTAGCAGCAGCCGTCCTAAAGAGCAGGGCCAGCTCTGTATGCAAAGATGAGAAAGAAGAGGAACTGGAGGCGCCAGACTAAGTGCAGTATATTTAGTATAAAGTTTAATTTGTTGATATAAAAACACTCACAAGAACAAGGATAACATAAAGCTCATCTGTGTTGGGGTGTATGACCACTCTCCTCCCTTCTATAGGGTATCGCCGGACATGCCAGAATGACAGCTGGAGCCGTGGGTGTAGTAGAGAGGATCTTCCTTGGGTATAGGGATGTATTGGAGCTGGTCAACGGTGCCTGTAACCCAGAAATGGCCGCACAACCAGCATGGACTGCACACCGGCGGAAGGGACGTCACCGGAAGTATCAGAGGGAAGATCTCAGGAGCACAGACTAGGCTACGCGCCCAGACATTCTCACTCATCATCATATAGACTCGGAAAAGTGGTTTCTTCATCATGTATTTATGGACCTCTATCGAAGGTAGGGGATACAGGGGTGGGTCTTCAGGCTTTCAGGTTCAACAGCAAACTGGACAAATTTGTTTCCAGGTTCAGAGATCATCTGGCATTTATGGTGGATGCCCTGGTGACTCCTTGGGATCAGTTCACCCTGATTTATGCTGTTTCTACTCAAACTCTTTCCTCACCTGCTTTCCAATCCCTCTGCCAGGAGTCTGTTGAACTCTGAGTCTGAGAGTTCCTGTGGCATGATGGGGCTGGATGGTGCACCAAGAGGTACTTCCATTTAGGGCAGTATGTACCCAGGATAAATGCCCAGTACACTAGCAGCCTGCATTCTGGGCATTCATCCCTGGGCATATACTGCCTTAAATAAAAGTGACCTAGATGCACCAGCCAGCCACAGAAGCTGTCAGCCTCTCATAGAGTATGACAGACTGGTGGAAATAAAGCTGAGCTGTACACCTGTGTCCTCCACTTGCAGCTAAACACTAGAGTCTGTGCCCTGGGGTTAAACACCCAGTGTTCATGGAGCCTAATCCACTCCTATCCTTGATTACTAAATTAAGCATTTGGGGGCGCAAGAGGTTACACTGGCTGACTGTCCTTACAGCTTTGCTTTTCTAGGCTCCAGTGTTCCTGAAGGTGGCAGTATAGCTCAGTTTCAGAATACTATCTTGTGTCCCATAATGTCCTCCAAGAAAGAGATTTTACAGGTAAGACAAAAGTCCTATTTTAGAATGTGGGTGTTAAGGAGTTTTAATAGGCTTTTTCAATGAAGAGAAAGCTTGCTTCCCATCCTATTTTATTTTTATCCAGTTTTATGATTGAGTGAATGTTTTATTTTGAAGAAAGGTCTCTTTGGCTTCTTGTTTTTCAGACTTGAGCAGTTCAATGAACAGGCATAGGTAACCTGCATATAAAATACCATATGTGCTCATCAACTCAAGTCTATAGCTCGAGGAAACGAGTTGGCTCATCATGATTTGTTCATGGCAATTCATTTATATATTCATTTATGTTTTGACACAAACTATGCAGAATAAACTTTCTATTGAAATAACAATGTGTCTTTATTCCGCACAAACTTCAGATATTCAAGATGCAAATGGGCTTGTTTATTTAACAGATACACTTTGTACTATGTAAGCAGCACTTTATGTTCATTTAAACAAAAAGTTAATATTTAGTTAGAAAATGAGGTTCCTGTGTTTCAACGTGAATGCTGCACAGTCATACTTACCGTCATAGTGAGTCATATTTATTAAATACTGAATAAAATGTTCCTTTTTTACCTTTAGCCTGGGTTCACATATATGCAGTGTGGTTTATCGCATGTGATTCGCACAGGAACCACACCGCATTCCTGCACAAATAACATGCGATTTGTGTGCGGTGCAATTGGAGCCATACATTTTGTATGGCTCTAATCGCACCGCATCTGCACCAAAAATGTGCAGGACCCTTTTTTTTGGTCCGCAATAGAATCGGATCGCATGGGTATTCACATCTCTGCGATCTGATTCTGCACACCGCACCACGTTTTGCGGACCGCTTTCAGGGTGTTGTTAATATACACACCCGCAGCGGTTCGCATGAACGAGGTGCGATTCTGATGCGGTGCAGAATTCGCACAGAAAATGCACCACATCAGTGTGAACCAGGGCTTATGGTACACCTTTCTGATCAGGTCTCTACTACTAGAGCTTGTGAAAGCATTACTGTAGCATTATTGCACAGTATATATTATTATTATACAGTATTTGTAAAGCGCCAATAGTTCGCTCAGCGCTGTACATTACAAAGTGGGACAGAACAATAACAATACAATGCAAAACATGAGGGGATCGAGGGCCCTGCTCTGTCGAGCTTACAAAAAAAAGGACTGACTCATAGCTTTCAAAGCTCTCTACATGTACAGTAATAAAGCTTATGTGTGTGTGTGTATGTATATATATATATATATGTATGTATGTATGTGTATATATATATATATATATATGTATGTGTATGTATATACAGTG